CTAATAAACGAATTAAGTTATATTAAAAATTCAAATGCCATTTACTATTAAATTAAAAACTCAAACATTTTATTAAATTAAAAATATGTGTTACCATTTAAAAAAACAAAGTTGACCCCCCTCCAAGGCATAAGGGATGAACTTAAAAAGTATTACATAGTTAAAAATTCAAGAATAATGTGTAACTAAAGATAATAAAAAAAAAAAATGTTTAAATTATTATTATTCTGTAAGTAATTGAGTGGGTTATGATAAAAAAATCACTCTGTATATATATATATTTGATCTTAATTGCTGTACCATTTAACTTGAAATAACACATGACATAAAATTAGTTATTTTACTTAAAATAATAAATCAATAAATGTCATAAAAAATGACATCGATATTAGAAGGTACAGACAATTGTTATTATCAATGGTAGTAAGGCATATTGTTGTGAGTATATAAATACACTAACTGACAATATAGAAAGGATATCTATTGATAGTCATAATTTATAATAAAAAATCATAGACCGTGACAACAATGTCATAAAAAATCAATTAGCTACCTGTATTTGTAACCCCTTGTCATAGGCGGACATTTATTTATATTTTGAGGGGGGCTAACATTTTTTACACAAAGTGACCCGCAGGGGCTTCGCCCCCGCACCCCCAATTAAATAACATAATAATAATGAATAAAAAGTAAATAATTAACATATTATACAATTAAAAATTATATATTAAATACTACTTCAATAATAAATATCTATTTTCATTCGCGAATAAATTTAAAATTTATTAATGTTTTTAGAAATATCTTTTTCAATATATAAAATTGATACATTTGTAAATTTATCTTGCGTCATTGAATTTCTAAGCCAAGTTTTAATTTTTTTCATAGCTGAAAAGCTTCTTTCGCATGTAGCTGAACTTATAGGTAAAGTTAAGGCTACATTAAATAATTTGTACAAATTCGGGAACGCTGATTTGTTTTCAAATAATATAGGTATAATATTCTCGACATTCATATCCGCATCAGGACCAATGGATTGTAAAATAACATTTTTAGCAACTGTCATCTCACAATTAAGACATTCTTTAGATACATCCATTGAAGACTAAATGGGAGTATTAAATAGGTAATAATTAACTATAAACAGACAAAGTATTAGATATTTAAACTAATAAGAGTAACTTACATGATAATGATCAATAAAATGATAACTTTCCTTGAAATTTAAATTAAGAAAAAAATCAATTGATGAAGCCATTGTTAAACTTTCTTGCGAAAACCTTTTCTTTAAATTTTCAACTATAGNTCCTTTAAATCATTTTTCTCTAGTTTTAAGGTAACGGTCTTCGACATACTAAAGTATGTCCACCACTGGTGACATCAAACAAACATATTGGTTATATATTTACAAGGTATCAGCGTATTATAGTCTACCACAACTCTTTATATTTTAGTATATGTTTATATATATATATATAATTTTTTTTATTCACTTTATCTCATCAAAATGCATATTATTGGTTTTCTTATTATTTTTTTTCAATTTTTTTTCTATTAAATCCACTTATGGTCCGGGTGTTGTTCTTTTCTGATCAAGACCCTCGCCTAAGTGGTTGGCGACCCGATTTCCTTTTGCAAGGGAGCCATGAGGGTGGCGACTCCACAATCCGTTGCGTGGCCCAAGTCGTCACCTCTCACTTTATGCAATATAAATAAATGAACGATAAATTTTTGGTTTTCAATACATGCAAGTATTCCTGAAAAAAATTAATTAATATAAAAATAAAAAAAAAATACTAATAAAATCTTAAACATCTACCTATTGCCTCATTCACGTCTTTATCACCATCATTTTCAATTTCTTCTTCAAGTGCAATGATTATTGCTTTATAATTCGTTTTAACAGCTTCACAGTTTTTGTAACGACAATTCCATCGCGTATCACTGATTTTAGTAATTGACAATTTATTTATACCTAATTTTACTTGTATATCATTATATTTTTTGTTAATAGAAGGTTTTGAAAAATGAGTGTACAGCGCTTCCAGAGTATTAAAAACACTTCTTGTTTCCTAAATTATAAAAATATATGTTGAAAGAAAATACAATTTTTTATTTTAAATACTTACTTTAATAAGTTTGCACATATCAATCACCACCAAATTTAATCTATGGGCCATACAGTGGGTATATATAGCATATGGATACTTCTCTTTAACTCTAGCTTATACACCATTAAATCGACCAGACATAACATTTGCACCGTCGTAAGACTGTGCTACTATTGGTATAAATGAATTTAGTCCCCAAATTTTCAAATATTCAAATATGGATTGAGTCAATGTTTCAGCATTTTGATTTTGAGAACAAAATACTGTAATAATAATACTGTATTCAAGCCAATCGTACTGGTTATAATAGGAAGCATTGAAGCTACGATTTTGCATTCCAAATTTGGTCGAAGGATACGACTAAAGCACCAAAACAATTTTTTTTAAAAATCCGAATATTAAAATAATAGAAAATATTACTTATTACAAGTCATTAAAGTATTAAAATAAGTACTTACTTTTAAAACTGGACGAATTGGACCACTTATTAAGTTTCCAAGATCATTTTGTTCCAGATTTGTTTCAGATATTTGAGATTTTGGACTTTCGACATTTGTTTGATCGTTGTTTTTATTTTTTTTTAAATTAAATATGTCAAACATTTTTGCCATTGTAGCGAAAAACAAATAAAAAATGAAAAAAAACTACTGGTAATTATTATTAATGAATATCAAAACGCGTTGAAAAGGACTGGAATCTTACAAATGAATAGCTAGGTGTGTAAATACAAACACTGTATCACTGATATCGTGAAATAATAACTATTAATAACTCCATAATATACTAGAGGTCACGTGTTATAAATATACATATATATAAACTTTAATCTATACACGCGTATCGGCTTAACGCTGGGTTTCCCGATCCCATGACTGTAGTTTTTGGCTCTTTGTGTTACCACATACGACAGAACAGCGAAAATAACATTTATAATTTATAGTATATTTTATGACCATCACATTATTATAAATTAGGTATTATTTTATTCAGTACTAAACACAATATCATTATTAAACAAATATTACTAGTAAACTACTATTAAATTTAACAGATAGTAAAATGTAACCACAATTCCACATCAGACATATTTTTATAAAAAAAAAACAATAAAATTTAATATTTTGTAAACAGAATTGTGGATAATTTAGAAAAAAATTTTAAGGGGGCTTCTAAAATTTCAGGAGGGGCTAAGCCCCCCTAAGCCCCCCACCCCCCAATGTCCGCCTATGCCCCTTGTGTATTATACCTACATATTAATTCAAAAATTTGAAACTGTAAATGTTTATATCTAATACACAAATAAAGTTATACTAAAAGTTCAAATGTCATTTGCTATTAAATAAAAAACTCAAACATTTTATTAAATTCAAAATATGTGTTCCCATTTAAAAAAACAAAGTTGACGCCCTTATCAGGCATAAAGGATGAACTTAAAAAGTATTACATAGTTAAAAATTCAAGAATAATGTGTAACTAAAGATAATAAAAAAAAAAAAATGTTTAAATTATTATTATTCTGTAATTAAATTTAGTGGTTTATGATAAAAAATCATTCTGTATATATATGTTACTTACAAAAATACTTGTGTTTATTTCTTTTTGATTATTATTATAATAATATTAATAATATTACCAGTATAGCAACGATAATTTTTTTTAACTTTATTTTATTAAAACTGTCATAACTATTTTAAAATATGAACCAATATTAAAATCGTATTATAAATAATAAGTTGAAATTGTTAATTATGACTAATTTGTTGATTATACTTTTTTAAATAACGTTCTGATATTACGCCTTGGCACGAACACTAAATTCTTGTGTTAATACTTAATTCATATGTATGTAATAAATAGTACATATCATGATTATATTCCGAGTTTCAATTTAATTAGTTAACCATATAAAATATTAAAATACTAAGTGGTAAAACATATGCTTAAATTATTCTAAATATATTTAAAAGAATAGTCATTTATCAAAGCACTAATAAATACTTAAAATTTTCAAATAATATTTTTATGCATAAGAACTTAAACAAGTAATGCCATTAATAAAACATAACAGAAACGTGATAAATAATGAAAATAAAAAAGACGATTACAAAAGATATATACTAGCTTGTAAGTGTATAGACAATTTCTTTAGGCAGTTATTATTTCTTAGTTTAATTTTTAATAATACAAAAAATGATTCTAAAAAAAATTATATTATTATTGACTATTCATTTAATACTTGGGATATCCTATAATGATTTTAAGTGTAATTTTTTAAAATATATGTTAAATTATTTTAATCATAATAACCGCTATTTAATTGAAATGATAGAAAACAAAGAAAAATATGACGTGGATAGTTTAAGAAAATATGGCAGTGCAATAAAAACTCATGGCGAAATCGTATTAATAATGTTAGATGTTTTAAGGAAATCTGAAAAAAAATTTTACCCGAAAGAATTGATATCATTCAATTTATACTTAAATAATGTTTCTGAGAATGTTGAATTCTATGCTAAAAACGATGACGGACTATTTGATTTGTCAGATAAAACTTCAAGTATTATTAAAGGTTACAAAATGCATCATAAGTTATTTTCAGATCATTTTAATATTATAATATCCAAATATTGCCAATGTGCCATATTTGACGAAGTATTTATTTATATTCCTGATTACAACGAATTAGGCGAATATACTCTCGGAAATTTTCAAATTGTTTCAAAGAAACTTAGAAACCGATTGTTACAAATTGATAAACATCAAAACGACAACGATGAATATATTAAAAATTTAGAACACAGTAAAGTATATTTTTTTTTTAAAAAAGCTATTGAAAGGTGTGAATACTGGGAATTTTTACCAAAAAATTTACTATTTTATGACTTTATGATGAATAATCGCGAAATTTCTGAAAAAGATCTTATAAGAAATTCTCAGGATAAACAATATCCACAGTTAATAAACGGAAGAATTCAATATGTTTTAGATTTTATTCGATTTGCACCACTCGCTATAACTTGTCCCAACGAAAGTNTTGCACCACTCGCTATAACTTGTCCCGACGAAAGACACTTGACCCTTTTTGATATATTTAGATATATCAAGTATAGTTTTTACACGAAAGATATACAAGTATTTCATGTACTTCTAATGACTGCAACATTTCGTCCTATTGCTTTACTCGTTAGACTTCTTATCAATATTCTTAGGTCCTCAATAGACGTTTACAATTTTTATAGTGACGAAAAAGAAAGTTTAATATTGTATCATAATATTATTTTCGTTGGTAATAGAATAGTTGAAGTTTTTCAAGATTTTGTTAATTTGGATCTCTTTGGTGATGGCCCATCTAAAGTATTTCTAAAATTATCAGAAATAACTTCTCAATGTCTTAAATATTTCATTAATAAAAATAACACAAGTGTCAAGTTATCATCCATAAAACTGATGCATTCATTAAAATCATTTTTTTATGATAACAAATTTAATTTTGATAATATATATGAGTATTCTACAAAGGATATTATCAATACTTGCTTTAATGAATTGACTGTAAACATGAAATATGCTGAAACATTTATAAGAAACTTAGAAGAACACAAAAAATATTTTGAAGTAACCAAAAAAACTTTGAATATTAATCACAAGTTAAATTTACCATTCACTAATGTTTTCAGTAATTATATAATAAGTAAGTTTTAATGTAAATTTAATTTTATTATGAGTTTTACATGTTCGGAAATTAAATATAATAGTTAAAAAATAATCGAAGTATTATTATTATTTAGAACTAACATTTTTCTTCACTTATTATTTTTCGAAATTATCTTTAGCGTAATTAATTTTAAAATTATAATTTTAAAATTAAAATTAAAATGTAATTTTTATTTTATATCTTCTAATGAATTTTTGTCTTGTAAATATCTTTTCATTTTAAATATGTCTTTTAGTCTCTTTTAAAATGTATCATATAAAAATAATAGTACTATCATATATTTCTTTTAGATATGTTATGTCAAACTAAAGATATTTATACATTATTATATAAATTCAATGATGAATATGTCACTCAAATTGTTGATTACGATAAAAACATTACATTTGATGATGATGAAAAAATAAACAAATATATGAGTTATGAAAATTATCCTGAAGATNGATGAAAAAATAAACAAATATATGAGTAATGAAAATTATCCTGAAGATTATATCAATAATGATTATTACTACGATCTACACTATTATCCTATATATTTGAAAAATTATATATTGTTTATATAAATTGTATGCAAATTTTATAATTATAAATAATATTTAGATTATTTTTACACTTGGACTATATTATACCTTAATGTTAATATTATAATTAGGGTTCGGATTTAGATGTCCTAAAAAACATTAAAATATGTCTTAAAACAAAATAATGTACTATACAAATGATCTAAAATAAAAATATAATGTAAAAACATTTTAATGTTTTATATGTATACTGTTATTCTATCATCATTTATTGTTTTAAATATTTCCAAAAATAATTTATACATGGAATGCGATTTGTTTTCTCTAACTTCTGAAAGAATGAACTATATTCATTTCTTTACTTTAAATATAAACTTTTAGCTTCGATGCGAAGCTGAGAATGTATTGGTTTTACTATGTGTTTTTTTTTTATGTCTGTTACCATTTTTTCTCAGCTCTCACCGAACGGATTTCTTTCAATCAAATCGTACCTAGTCGACAATATTACCCTCAAAAATTGAAAAAATTTCCCTCATTCCCCGTAAATGGGGGGCCTCCAAAAAAATTACAAATTTAAAAATCACTAAATTTTTATATCATCCATCTAATGGCCGATATTATTTAACGATGGCTGAATACCGCTATAATAATAACTGTCGCCATTAATTGATCAAGTATTTCGACCATCGCTAATAATTGAGGTACAGCAAACGCGTCCGCATTGCTGGAGACTGCTAGAGCGTAATCCAAACATAAGTCTTCCGTTGAATTTCAGATTGACACCTCAACCACTGGGCTTGTGCTTAATTATCTTCCAACGTCATAATGACCAATTAAGACTAATAAAAGGACACGATATTAGTCACATACCCTCACTAACACGATTTTATTAATAAAAAAAAAAAAAAATAATGATCACACACAACACTAAGAAGAACAAATACAAAATGTTGAAAGATTACAAATATTATAAAAAAAATCGAATTAATTGGCCGCAACAAAAAATTTGTAACTTTCATGGCGCATTGAAAAATTAAAAATAAAAGGGTCGCCAACCTACTGGGCGAGACAATGCATTGTCGGACCACAGTAGGATTTTAAAAAGAAATTAAATTTTGTACATTAAAAAATAGTTTTAAAATAAATAGAAAAATATTAAAGGTTGATATCAAAGTCCGTTGAGTCGTTGATAGTAGATGTACACCAAAACCTCGTGACAGTGGTCACATAACCATAATGATGAGGGATGACATTATGCAAGATCGTTGCCAGTACCTTATAAACTAAGGGGACTTGATTTTTGAAAAGAAAAAAAAAATTCACGAGTCCATTGAAGATGAAATACGCAAAAAAAATAAGATGATAGTTGAGTTAATTTAAGGGGACTTTATTAAAAAAACAAAAAAAATTAAGTTAATACGAGGCAAAAAACCTCGTCTACAAATTAAAGGGGAACAGAGAGAAAAAAAAAATATTAATAACAAAAAATAATTACACCTACACTTTTACAATTAGAGAATACGATGAACGTCTTCAGGTACCCACCGGCTATTAATCACGGCATTACCGCTAAGTACGGCGGGTATACATCCCAAGTAAGCGACTGTTTTTAGACAGTTAGACTTAGCTTGAAAGACGTTGGGATACACTGGAATAAAATGCACTACGTCACCACATTGTAATAATGATAAATATATGCATCACCCAATATAATTTCATATAAAACCTATAAAAAAAATCACAAAAAAATATATATAACATGACAGGTGGTCTTGTAACACGCCTGCCATATTGAGGGACCTAAATAAAAAAAAAACCCAGCACAGGGGGGTCGCGGCACAGTGGTGACGTGGCATAGTTGGATCAAGTATAATGATATCTGACAGTGATTAAAATCACTATCAAAAATAAACGCTTCGATGCAAATCTTTAGATAGTGTTTAATTTTAAAAAAATTGGTGTTTTATTCCAAAAGCTACTTGATCTGCTGGTTCCTTATTAATATCTCGATTAAGATAAAGTATGTCGAATGAAAAAAGGTTTATTAAAAAATATCATTTTNGTATGTCGAATGAAAAAGGGTTTATTAAAAAATATTATTTCTCATAAAAAAATTGTGTGGATCCATAAACTTTTCAATAAGTTATAACATTATAAAGTTAAATATAATATAAATAATAAAATCGAAAATTTTCATTTGCAAGTGACCTTCCGGAACACTTTCAAAAGTTAAGTTGAAAAAGTTCTACTTTCTATATGCATTTTTTATATTTGAAGCCCCCCCATATATAGGGAAATAGTCTGATTTAAAAAAAAAGTATATCCAATGAAAGATGTATATAAATATTACTTCTCATGAAAAAATTGTATTGATCCATACATTTTTTAAAAAGTTATAGCACTTTAAAGTAAAAAATGTAAATTATAAAATCGAGAATTTTCACACAAAAATAGCATTCGGTAGCCGTTTTCACCATGAAGACAAGTCCAGAGGTCAAATTTTTTTTTTTCAAATTAAAGTACATTACATTAGCTTTAATTTAAGATATATATAAAAGTGTCAGACCTTCCGGAACATTTTCAAAAGTTAAGTTGAAAAAGTTAATTTTTTGTGAAAAAGTTGTCATTTTAAATCCCCCCCTGTGGGCAGATAAAAGGTCAAATTTACAAAAAAAATATACCAAATAATAGGTAAAGACATCAAGCATCTATATAAAAAAAAATTATATTGATATGTTCATTTTTGAAAAAGTTACGGCAGTTTTTAGTAAAAAAAATTGAAAAAATTTCGAAAATTAGCGATTTTTAAATTTGTAATTTTTTTGGAGGTTTCCCCCATTTACGGGGAACGAGGGAAATTTTTTCAATTTTGAAGGGTAATGTCTTCGACTAGATACGATTTGTGATCTTTTGACGTATCGTTGAAAGAAATCCGTTCGGTGAGAGCTGAGAAAAAGTGGTAACAGACACAAAAAAAAAAAACACATCATAGTAAAACCAATACCTTCTCAGCTTCGCATCGAAGCTAAAAGTTATAGCAGTTTTTAGTAAAAAAAAATTGAATACCAGCCCAGTAGGTCTACAGAAAATGGAGGCAGGATTAGCCAACGCCAGTAAACAAAAAATTATTGAAAAAAAAAAATAGCGGATACTCACATAAAACAGGTATATAAAAAAACAGTTGCAGCGCACACAACAAAAAATCACGACCGCTACGTACGAAAATTAACCGACAACCAGTTCCGAAAATGGCTGATTTCCGACAAAACGTCCGTCGTTTGACCCGGCGGTCCGTTGGCGACAACACGGCTAGCCTTTAGAGTAGGGGTCAAAAAAAAATTAAATACTCAGTGCCGGAAATTACTAAGAACAATTTGAATCATAAGGCGACAATGTATGCGGTGAGCAGTGCAAATGATGTTCAAGATAGGAAAGGAGCGGGGTGAATGTACACACAAATGCCGTCCATGAACCGGTCTGAAGTAGTACACAGCTGACTATCTCGCACGCGCTTAAACAAATCACAATACCTTATCATGATTACTTATTTGATAAACGTCGCCGCAGTTCCCATTCAGCCTAACCAAGATAATTCAGAACACAAATATATATATATATATATATATATA